AGTGAGAGGAAGCTGTTAGGACGCAGCGCTCCCATGCTCATCACACCGCCTGTGAGGGGGAGATGCTACCGGACTCCCTGCCCGCTGTCTCCTGGAATCCCCGCTGAATGTTTGAACGTCACCATGCTGCTTAAAGCCAGGGTCCTGGTCCTGGTCCTGGTCCTGGTTCTGTGTTCCGGACTGACGGCTGCTGGGTCCCTGAGAGGCAGAGAGAGGCGCTGGGCTGAGCCGGAGGAGACGCTGAAGCCTGGGAGGTAAGACCTGAGGGAGCAAACCATCCATCCATCCATCCATCCATTGATGGATCCATCCATCCACCCAAAGTTCAGGAACATAATTTGGTCATAAAGTGTTTTCCATCCTACTGACTAATGTTATTATTAACTCTCCATATTAGTATTATTTTTAAAGGTTTCTGAGAGCTTAACCAGGGTAGATAGCTTTAAATGTAACACTGTTAAATGTTTCTTTTTCTCCAAATAATGTAAAATACTAAAAAATAAAGATGTAGCCTATGTGAGATGTTAAAATAATTCCAGGACTTATTTTCATTTACCTCTAGTTTATTTGTTTTCTATTTTTCTGTCTCTAAAGCACAGTGGCCAAGAGTCTCCCATTTCAAATTCATGTAAAAAGAAAAAGTATTGGTAGTAGTAAAGGTAGTAGTAATGAAAAAAATAGGTAAATGTAAACAGAATCGGTGCAACTCTGGTTCTTACTTAACTCCAACCTTTTATTTGTGGAAAACTATTTAATTATATATATATAAAAAAAAAAAACATTTGATCTCATGGTTTTTTAAATAATTTTGAACCCAAATGCAGAGAGCTCACAAGGAACGATCAGGATTTAAAGTGTTTATTTACAAAGACATGTTAATCATGTTATTTGGGATTCCATGGGTCCAGAGACCCAGGAAGGAGCTGATGTTCTGTGGTTAGATGCAGATTAATTAGAGTTTCATTTGTCGGGAGTAGAGATTGACTGGACTTGGTTTTATCTGCCTGCAGAGGGTGAACACTGAGACGTTTGGGGAACTGTGACCGTGATAGACGAACTACTCAACAGTAGTACTTTAGTAAAAGTATTGATACTTACAGTCGAATCTTAATCAACTACATGTAAAAGTTACTAATTCACACGTCTACTCAAGTTGGTCGCTTGCCGAGTCCTTGACCTGAATAGACATGAGTCAGTGAGCTGAACCCACTGCCACTAAAAACCACTGTTCCTGGTTGAAACGGGAATTTTTGGCCAGTGTTAAATAGATTAAGGTTGAATCTGTAACCACAAACACACTGCAGCTCTGCTTTGAAAACTCATCCTACTGAACAACTAAGTCACATGGCAACAACTCAAATGTTAAAAAAATTCATAAACTACTAATAATATCTGCTCTGAGTTTCTCTAATTTGTCATTAAATCTCTTAAACAGTGGCGTCCACATTTATTCCTAAGGGCTGCTATCTGCCATGATGGAAATTTCAATTTCAATAAAGAAAAAACAGCAACAGATATATCTAAATAAAGAGATAGAATGAAGCAGAATGATGAAAAAGGGGTCCCTATGTCCTCCAGCAGTCTAAACTTATAGCAGCATAACTATAGAAATAGCTCAGCTGATGAACACATACAACACATGCTTTTTTTTTATCTCTGCATTTAATTATTATTATTTATTATTAACTGGGTAGAATATTGTAATGTATTGCGATAATATCGTATCATGACCCAAATATCATGATGAGTATCACATCACAACTCACCTTTAAACCGTAGGTATAAAAAAGTATCACTATTGGTGATTCTGGTATTGAATTGGTACCAGAATGAGGCGTACCGTACACCTCTATGGTCTGAGTTTTTGCACCTTTCCTTTTTTAACTGGGAGACACCAGTTTTGCTTTGCAACCTTTGTGGCTTTCTAGGATCCCAAGCTGCGTGTTATCTCTGAACCAGGAGGAAGCATTTAGCTGAGCATCACTGCTGACTGCCTTCGCTTCCCTCTCTGAACTAAACATCTGCAGGCTTTTCATGGTTGGTTGGTTTTCACTCAGTATTGTTGGAAACAATCTGTAGGTTTCATGATTACAGTAAGTGATTGAGATTTAGATTGGCCAATAAAATCAAATCCATATTTTCTGTTATGTTTTCATAGGGTGCAATTTGTTAAGTTAAGCAGTGAACACTTAGAAAAAATATCTGTTGTCATTTAGCATATTCTAAGAGAAAAATAAAGGTTTATTTTTTCCAAGTCATTTTTTCACTATGTCATTCATTCATTTATAAAAATCTTACTTTGTTATATAAATATTTAGTTCTGAACTAAATAATTAGTTTGCAAATAAAATATTTAGTTTTATTAATAAATATTTAGCTCCAAACTAAATATTTATTTAAAAAGTAAGATTTTTATAAATGATGGCGCCCCGTATATTTTGCATGACATCATCACTGTGTGACAGCCTGAGCATTTTTAGGAATAGTTCCAGACGGGGCATAAATCCTGCTGACATAGTGATCTGTTCTGTATCTGTAAGACCAGCAGCCCTCTGTAGGAGGAAAGCCAGTGTGTCCAGTATGAAACAATCAACCTCTGCTCTGCTGGTTTATTTAGGGGAAAAAGTTACTTTAAAGGATGCAGAATTCAGAAAGACTGAAACTCTAACCTCTAACTGTGTTTTCGTACCTCCTGTTCTCACTTTTTCATTCTTTCCTAGAAAATGACTGTTTGTCTTTGCAGAGCCCTCCATGAAACGCCCGACGCCCTGCTTCTGGTTGGGAAGACAGGCTTGGAGGCTGGCCTGGTGAACGGGTGTGTAACTTTACTCTCATTCTCTTTCACCTCTATTTTGTTGGTTTTCATGGGATCTTGCTTTCAGTCTCAAAGTTAATGAAATGAGCTGGAAATGGATGTAATATCTCTGGTTTATTCTGAGCAGGGCCATCCTGAGGTGGGTTTAGTTTTGACCTGCTTCTGTCTATCATTTATGGTGCATTAGAGCCATACGGCTAATAATAATGGGAATACCAAAGGACTGTTAATTAAAGGAAAGGTGAAATATGCCTCAATTAAAACATAGAAATATGTTTAACAGACTGTATCCATCCAATTACCCCTTCATGCAAAGGATTCCCTCACTGTATACTGTAAGGTTTATTTCTGAGCAGTTTATAGAAACAAGCTTTCTACCGTTTTCCTCAGACTTCCTGAAGAGTTTCTCTTAAACCCGGCTTCGCCTTTTCTACGTCTAGTTCTTGGAATGAAGGAGAACAAAATAAGGTTAAATCTGAATTAAATCTGTTCTTAAGAATCTGAAATGAATGATCAGCTGGTGAGTTATGCACCAGGAATCACTGGCAGTAAAAAGTCTTCTGTCTTCTTTGGATTGACAGATGACAACAACAGATTTACACATTGAAAGCATTGACCTAAGTTCAGGACCTTTAATGGATAAAACATTTATAGATTGATAGATAGATAGATATTGAGCTAAGTAGTTTGATGGCAATTCTCTGAAAACTAGTCAAAGCATACATTTTTTTAAGACCATAAGAGTTTTAAGAACTGCATAAAATCTGTGCCTTTCAAACAAAACAAGAAGTCATATCAAACCTTTAGATCAATGGATGAAGACTGCAGCTGATATTTTCAGGGTTTCTTAATCCTGGTTCTTCATGTTTTAGATGTGTCTCTGCTCGAGTGCACCTGATCCAGGTGATTGCCTCACCCCTTGGCAGCTGCAAATGCCTGGCAATCGCCTTTTCATTCAGGTCAAGTGTGTGGAGGCAGGAAAACACCTAAACATGTAGGACAGTGGGCCCCTTAGGGCCGGGGTTAAGAGGCCCTGGTTTAAACGATGAGGAGCAACATTTATTTAAAGTCTGTTCAGCAAAGAATAACCAATGGATCATTATTTATACCTAAAACTAATACGTTTGCTGTGATTTAATTAATTTAGCGTTGATCAGTAAAAAATGAAATGGGAGCGGCCATCTTGTCCAAATATAGTAACCCCTCCCTCCTGCCATCTTCCAGCAGTGATGTCACGGTGCGGTAAGCCTAGCGCCATTCTCCCCGCTTTACGAGCTAAATCAATGGGATCTACTAGACACATCTGCAATCAACAACAATTATTGAAGATTTCCAGAGGACTTCACCATTGAAATTCACCAGAGCTATAGTGAAACTGACAATGCCCACGTGCATGGCAGCTGGATGCTGGAATACATCGGGTAAAAGAGGAAAAAAAAGACTTATTCCACCTTTCTGATTCCTGATCCTCCACGGACGGGTTGGTCTTGGATCGCCAACTTGAAGAGGGAGGATTTGCCATCGAACTTCTGGCCAGAGAAAAAACACGTAATATGTAGCCAACATTTGGAAGAAGAATGTTTTCATGTTGTGACAAACACCAGTGTTGTGACAAACACCAGATACAGCACTGGGACTTGATCGACAGCCGATACCGCACCGTGACGTCACTAACCAGTAGGTGGCAGTAGTGTTCTTTGACAAACATGGATGCCTCCAGTAAAGCACATTCACATGAAAATTACTCTGAATTAAAAACACTGATCATTTATTGAACAGGATGGAATCATTTCAGATTTAAAGAACTTTCAGAAGTTTGAATTCTGAATTTGAGCGAACTTTTCCTTTAAGGCTCACCTTGTTGTTCTTTATAAAACCACTGGTGCTTAATCCAGGTTTTCCAAACCCCATTGTTTGCTTTCTCTGCTCTTTTCAGTCCTGTGTCAAGGAAAACAGCAGATGGCACCAAAAGCCGAAAGCTGAAAACCAGCCATCTACTTCGCGTCGATGAACATGACTTCACCATGAGGCCAGCATTCGCAGGTAAGCTCTGTCAACTTCCTGTCCAGATCAGTTAACTTTAACAGATGCAGTTAATGACAAATATCATCTAAACAATCATAGTCATTGAACCAGAGGAAGTTATCATTGATCTTAGTTTGACCAAACTCAGATTCTTTCAGCTCAAACCAATCATGTAATCAGATTCTGATTATTTTATTCATACATTGAAGTGTGACAAAAAAGCGGCTGCTCCTACCCAATCTGTAAAAATAAACATTAGGCATAGTGAGTGGTTCAAGATTATTGAGCCATTGTCTCATCACAGTCTTGCTGACTAAAGAAGCATGAGTTGAACTGGCAGAGCTGTGTGGAACCCGTTCTTTCAAGTCAATTCAATTCAGTTTATTTCTATAGCTCCAATTCCCAACACATGTCATCTCAAGGCACTTTCCAGTTCACCAGATCATCCAGTCAGATTGATTCAAAGTTTTCAATCTAAGGAAAACCAGCTGATTGCATCGAATCATTAACTCTTCAGCAATCCCTCACTCTAAGCATGCTTGTAGCGACAGTGGAGAGGAAAAACTCCCTTTGACCAGGAAGAAACCTCCAGCAGAACCAGGCTCAGTGTGAGCGGCCATCTGCTGAGGCCGACTGGGGTTCAAGGAGACAGAAGCAGACATAGAAAAAGAAGCATAGATACAAAAGGCAACTGTCAACCAGCTCCACAGGCGGCCCCGTCCAGGAAACACACAGCCAGGCAGACGAGCTCCGAGCCAGCTCCCATGTCAGAGGATGAAGAGAGCACATCCAGTTAGTCACAGTCAGAGAAACAGGACTACACTGAAAAACAGGCCGATCTCCAACATCTAGAAACAAAGGTGTTGATGGCAGCAGCACAGCTGATGTTTCTCTCCAGGATGGAGTCGCAGTCCTTTCTTCCCATTGTTGCTACAGTCATGGTTCTTGATCCGTTTGAAGCTCTGCCGAGCTTTTCTGAAGCCGTTCAAGATGTTTTTTTGTATATTTCCTTGAAAATGTTGGCAGATGAATGTTTGTTCAGTCCGTAGTCATTGTGTGTTTTGTATTCACCTTGATCGTCAGAAAGAAAAAACAGCTGTTGCTTGGGTTTAAGCAGCCAATTATAAATAAGGAGCTTATATTCAAACCAAAGAGTCGTGTTTTCTGTTGTTTAGCATCATGCAGCCCAGTTTAAACCACTGTGGATTTGATGCTTTTTTTAGTTGCATCCACAGATGTCAGCAGACATCCAACTGGGGTCTTTGCGTTTTGCTTTTGTCAGCTGTTATTGTCAGATCCTGCAGAAACGCAACCAAAGAACAAATGGCTTCTTTTTGTTGTGGCATCACTGAATGCTGAGCCCCCCCATCGTCATTTCAGTCAGAGGGATTTCAGTGCAATCATCAGGCTGAGTGAGAAATGTGAGCTCAAACAGCTGCTCTGGTTCCTAATAGTTTCATCAAAGCTTGTTACACAACTGCGTCCTGTGTTGACTGCACCACAATAAATATGACTTTTTTTTTCTGAGCAAGACCAGAACCAGAGTGGCTGAAACTGCAGATCTTATGCTTCCGTTAATGCATGTTTTTATTTCTTTGGGAATCTCTGGATCATGCTTCAAAGCTTCTAAGGAGATGGATACATCTGCTATCCATTAGTGATATTTGCATTAAAAAGTAGCACTGAGATATTCTGTAGATCTAGCTAATGCATTGCATCACTGGAATTTCCTTTTTGGATTTATGCGTGTAATGTATATTCCTCGCTGTCTGATCTGAGCGTGGTCAACTGATGACAGATTTATAGCTGCTAATCCATGAGCAGATGAGGGACGGATGCGTTTCCTGGCAGTTTATAGAAGCAATGTCTGCTGCCTTGGAAAGCTGAGGCTGCCTGCAGAAGTAAGGCACTGGGGTCTCTGTATTCAGAGAGAATAATTCATTATTTGTATGTAGAATTTGGGATCCTGAGGTTGTGAGTTCGAAACCCACTCCCACAGCCTCCATTCTGGCTCTCTGAGCAAAGACCTTTAACTCCACTCTGTAATAAAACGAGACAGATGGACCCAGTATTCAAGGTGACCACAATCATCTGACAGAAAATGATTATCTCGCTGAGTCACTTACCTGGTTTAACAGTTCAGTCCATCACCCTTGAAGGGGGTGCGATCCAGCCAATGGGTTGACAGCTGACGTGGCGCATCACCCAGAGAGTCCCCGGTGCTGCAGTCCCAGAGGACTTGCAGGAAGCTGATCCTGGACAGGGATTCAGAACAGGCAGGATCCAGGCTTCCTGGCATCCTACAGCTCCCAGGCAGGTTCCAGAAGCGTGACCAGGTGGACATGGACAGGAGCAGACAGAATCAGGTGCAGCTGAGCAGGCACAGTGGAAGAGGGTACCTTGGAGCCAGGTTTACTGGAATAAAAACTGAACCTCCGCGTAAAGAGCCAAAAACCCAGAGGACTCAGCAGGGGAGGAACAATGGACGAGGAGGAGAAGAGACAGACACAAAACCCTCTTTCCTCTGGCCGCCAGGATCCAGGACATGAAACTTTGAATGAACAGAACTGAAACAGACTGAACAGAAACAACATCTAATGATCTGGATGTGATAGCTGGAACTGAGCCCAATATAAGGGCAACTGGCAGGTGGAAGAGATGAGTGATAATTAGGAGCTGGAAAGAGTAAAGCAGGTGAAAGGCATGAGTAAATAAGGCCAGCTATCACAGCAGATCATGACACACTGCTCATGATGGCAGCCCACTGGGATAAATGCAGAGGAACATTTCTAGCGACTGGAAAGCTCACCCGGTAAGTCAAGTGATAATTCAATTCAATTCAGTTTATTTATATAGCGCCATATTCACAACACATGTCATCTCAAGGCACTTTACAGTTCAACCAGATCATACAGTCAAATTGATACAAAGTTTTCTATCTAAGGAAAACCAGTTGATTGCATTGACTCATTGACTCAAATACAATCCCCCACACTAAGCATGCTTGTAGCGACAGTGGAGAGGAAAAACTCCCTTTTAACAGGAAGAAACCTCCAGCAGAACCAGGCTCAGTGTGAGCGGCCATCTGCTGAGGCTGACTGGGGTTCAAGGAGACAGAAACAGAGATACAAAAAGCAGCTGTAAAAGGCGGCCCCGTCCAGGAAACACACAGCCAGGCAGACGAGCTCCAAGGCAGCTCCCATGCCAGAGGACGAAGAGAGCACATCCACTCAGTCACGGCCAGAGAAACAGGACCACACTGGAAAACAGGCCGATCTCCAACATCTATTAACAAGGGTGTTGATAGAAGCAGCACAGCTGATGTTTCTTTCCAGGATGGAGTCACAGCCAAACAGGAACAGACGAGGCAAAGCTACTCTGAGGAAAAGCAGAGAGAGCAGAAGGTTAGAGATTGAACTAACAGATTCTGCAGAATAGGAGAACAGAGAGAGAATGAAGCAGAATGATGAAATGGGGGTCCCTATGTCCTCCAAAAGTCTAAGCCTATAGCAGCATAACTATAGAGATAGCTCAGGATAACCTGAGCCACCCTAACTATAAGCTTTATCAAAAAGGAAAGTTTTAAGCCTAGCCTTAAAAGTAGACAGGGTGTCTGCCTCACGGACTAAAACTGGTAGTTGGTTCCACAGGAGAGGAGCCTGATAACTAAAAGATCTGCCTCCCATTCTACTTTTAGAAATTCTAGGAACCACTAGTAAACCTGCAGATTGAGAGCGAAGTGCTCTGTTAGGAACATAAGGAACAATCAGATCTCTGATATAAGATGGTGCTTGGCCATTTAAGGCTTTATATGTGAGAAGGAGGATTTTAAATTCTATTCTTGATTTAACAGGAAGCCAATGAAGAGAAGCCAGGATAGGCGAGATATGATCTCTCTTTTTAATTTTCATCAGAACCCTGGCTGCAGCATTTTGGATCAGCTGAAGGCTTTTAACTACAGTTTGTGGACTTCCTGATAGTAAAGAATTACAATAGTCCAGCCTTGAAGTAACAAATGCATGGACTAGTTTCTCAGCATCACCCCTGGACAGGATATTTCTAATTTTTGCAATGTTCCTCAGATGAAAGAAGGAAATTCTAGAAACCTCTTTGATATGGGATTTAAATGACAGGTCCTGATCAAAAATAACACCAAGATTTTTTACTTTATTATCTGAAATCAGTTTAATCCCATCCAAATGAAGTGACTGGCTAATCAGTTTCTTTTTCAGAGACTCTGGTCCAAAGACTATAACTTCTGTTTTATCTGCATTCAGAAGCAGAAAGTTAAGAGTCATCCAGGTTTTTATGTCTTCAAGACATGCCTGTAATCTATGTAATGGGTTAGCTTCATCTGGATTTATAGACAGATATAGCTGGGTATCATCAGCATAACAGTGGAAATTAATCCCATGCTGTCTAATAATTCTACCAATTGGGAGCATGTATAAAGTAAAGAGAATTGGTATTGATAAGTCACCCATCCTGCAAAAAGGAGGCCTGGGTTCATATCTGGGTGTTGCCTAAGGACCAGCTGTGGTCCTTAGACACCCTTCATGCTAATTGACAATGGCCTAAATGCTAACCTAGCGTTTAGGCCATTGCGCTTGGAATCCTGAGAATCCTGAGGTTGCCACTCTGGCAGTCTGTGTCACTCAGCTCCCTGAGGACGAACCTGAACAATGGATGTGCAGCACACATCAATTCCCCATTAAGAGACTTAATTTTGTTGCTCTCTACTTGTGACAGTGTAATGAGAATAAAACACTGGAAAAAATATACATATTTACATATATACTTAACATAGGGTTAAACTGGTGCTGAAACAGTTCAATAGAATATTAAAATAATTGTCTACTAATTAGCACCCATAACAGTTAGCTCCAACTGAGGCAAAAAAAAAACTCATTTAGTGAAAGAAAACTGACAAAGCTGTAAAAAAATACTAACATTTTACATTATTGTCTCTCCAGAACTCCTCAGGAGGTATTTCTGAGCTCTGAATTGAGCTTTCTTCTTTTAGGTTTTTGCCATTTACAATCCATTCATAAATCAAATTTAACTGGACTTCAATCAGTTTTTATTTATCTATTGATCTAGCAACCATTGAGGTTTAGGTCCAGTAAAGCCTCTCTCCTGACAAAACATCAAAAAAAGTCAGAATCCAATCCTTCTCTCCTCCGGTGCTGAAAGGGGGATTGGGTAATGACTCAGTTAGTTAGTGTAAGTAAAAAGGAATCAGATTGTTGACTTAAATCTCAAACCACTGCAGAAAACATGATTTTGTCGGTTTGGTGTTTTTTGCATTATATGAACCACTGGGCTTCAGTAGAGCTCTGAAAATAATCCATGTAAGTATAAGTAAATTTTTCCTTTGACCTGAGGTGTCCACTCACCATGGAAGCTGATGTCGGTGTGTGGGACCTCAGGGTCGTGAGAAAAGGCCAGCAGATGCAGTTAAGCATTGCACTGAAGAGCTGTTAAAAGCAACGGAGTCATCAGCAGCTGTGAAGTGGAGCTTTGCTTTGATGCACTAATAGGTCTGCTCTCAGCATTAGTGAATATTGTGGTTGCAGAAAGAGCGCTTCAAAATGCTAGGACATCTTGTCAACTTGTAACCAGGAGGACACTGCTCTGAAAAAGCTTTTTAATAGATCTGAGTTTAGTTCAGCCTGGCTCTGGTCTCATGCGAAGCTGCAGACTGAGCAGAGGCATCACAGGAACAGACCTCTCCTCTGCTCCTCGGTCATTCTGCTACCGTTTTGTTTATCCCAGCAGGTGTCTGATGTTATGTCACCCTAGCGGATGAGGATTTAATGTGTCCGGCACGTGTAGCGTGGCATATGGTATGAGTAATAGTACGGACGAGAAGACTAACAGCTGGAACTGGGCAGGAGTTAATATCCCATCTTCCAGGTAGCAGATTTGCTTGTTCTTATGTAAGGCTGGCACTGCTTCACGGATTAACAATACTAGAGCAGCCAATGTCACTGCACTAAACAAATGACAGCAGCTCCAGTCAATTTGTTTTCCTCCTAACGATCGGGGGGGGGGGGGGGGGGGGGGGGATTCCCTTCCATATCCCCTCAAATCCTAAAATCGTCCTTATTTCTAATCCACTCAGTCAGCTGAGCTACACATACAGCAGAGTCCTGTCAACTGCTTAATGAAACACCTCATGAAATAATTCCAGTTATTAGTCATGGCTTAGATCAGGTCTGCAACGTTTTCCAGGTCAAGGACCCCCAAACTGATGGTGAGATGGAGCGGGGACCCCTTAATTATATATAGTATGAAATAGAGTTATATCAAGCTGGTCCTGGAGTAATGTAACTAAAGTAATCCCTCTCTCGGATTATTAAAGTATTTCTGATTCCTGGTTGATGGGACAGGTGTTGTGAATGAAACGATGCCCAGCTTGAAAGAGCTCCTGTGTGTCTCTGAATGTGTGCATTGATGACTGAAAGACATCTTCTGCCTCCATTTATCTGTTTACTACAGTCTGTTGAATTCATGTCATTGTTGATTTAAAGATATTTCAATTAGTGGAAAAAATTGCAGGGGAAAAAAAAAAAGTCTAATCAACCAAAATTTTGCCTCTGTACCTCTGTGGACCCCCTAGGGGTCGTGGACCCCCTGTTGAAGACCTCCGACTTAGAGGGTTCCAAACATGGGGGTCTAGAACTCTCAGTGGGTCGCAAGACACCAAGTAGGAAATCATTGAAGTCCAAAATATGTGCTGAAATATATAAATATAGGATTAAATAAGTAGATATAACATTGATTTATTTATCTGATACCTGATTCAAATATTAAACATAAATTTAACAGACATAATTCATACTTTATTCTTTTTTTCCTGTGGATGAGTTTTTTTTCTTGGATAGTTAATTAAACTCAATTAAATTCAGTTTATTTCTATTGCACCAATTCACATCATGTCATCTCAAGGCACTTTCCAGTTCAACCAGATCATCCAGTCAGATTGATTCAAAGTTTTCTATCTAAGGAAAACCAGCTGATTGCATCGACTCATTGACTCTTCAGCAATCCCTCACACTAAGCATGATTATAGCGACAGTGGAGAGGAAAAACTCCCTTTGAACAGGAAGAAACCTACAGCAGAACGATGATTAATGATTCTGATTTAAAAGAAAACTGTAGCTATAACCTTTGACCTGAAGCTGAGGATTTCTGAGATTTGGAAATTGTGTTTTTTTTATTGTTGGGATTATATTTCAAATGCAATGGTTGATAACTGTTAAAGACTGTTAAAAAGTATGCAGTGAGATTAGCTGCACATCAACATTTGTTTGGTGTGTTTTAAAAAGCCTATAACCATATACTGTAATATACAACCTTATAGTGCATCTATAGGCTGAAAAAGGATTGATAATAACATAATTTTTCTGTCCATCTTCAGGTCCTGCTGTCCCTGTCGGAGTGGATGTTCAGGTGGAGAGTTTGGACAGCATATCTGAGGTTGACATGGTGAGCTGCCTGGATGTTAGGATGCTACGCAAAGTGTCATACTTTCAGGATCAAACGACTGCAAATGAAACTCTCATCTACAGTAGATGATAAGAAATGTTAACATTGGGGTAGATTTGGGAATTGATTTTATGAGATTGTATTAAACGTAATGAGTTATTAAATAGAGTAGAAACATTGAAAGCTGTAAAGAAAATAACCCTTCCTCAGATGATTGGTGTTTATTTCAAACTAACCTGACCTCTTTCAACTGTATTTAGTTTATAGTTTGATCAGGATCACGAAACTTTATCCCAGTCACAGCGTGCTTTAGGGCTACATCACATTGTTCATCTTCCTCCAGGCCAGTGAGGGCTTTGGAACATTTTCATTTCTAACATCATAAAACTGCCCTGAGACAGACTGGTGACCTGTCCAGCTTGGAACCCGCCATAGACTGAGATAGGCAGCATGGAGGATGGATGGTTGGATCAATCAATGGATGGATGGACGGATGGATGGATGATGGATGGATCAATCAATGGATGGATGGATGGATGGATGGATGGATGGATGGATGGATGGATGGATGGATGGATGTAGGGAAGATGGATGATGATGGATGGAATCAATCAATGAATGGATGGAGGGAAGATGGATGATGATGGATAGAATCAATCAATGAATGGATGGATGGATGGATGGATCAATGGATGGATGTAGGGAAGATGGATGATGATGGATGGAATCAATCAATGAATGGATGGATGAATGGAGGATGTATGATGGATGGATCAATCAATGGACGGATGGAGGGAAGATGGATGATGATGGATGGAATCGATCAATGAATGGATGGATGGATGGATGGATGTAGAGAAGATGGATGATGATGGATGGAATCGATCAATGAATGGATGGATCAATGGATGGATGTAGAGAAGATGGATGATGATGGATGGAATCAATCAATGAATGGATGGATGAATGGAGGATGTATGATGGATGGATCAATCAATGGACGGATGGAGGGAAGATGGATGATGATGGATGGAATCGATCAATGAATGGATGGATCAATGGATGGATGTAGAGAAGATGGATGATGATGGATGGAATCAATCAATGAATGGATGGATGAATGGAGGATGTATGATGGATGGATCAATCAATGGACGGATGGAGGGAAGATGGATGATGATGGATGGAATCAATCAATGAATGGATGGATGGATGGATGGATCAATGGATGGATGTAGGGAAGATGGATGATGATGGATGGAATCAATCAATGAATGGATGGAGGGAAGATGGATGATGATGGATAGAATCAATCAATGAATGGATGGATGGATGGATGGATCAATGGATGGATGTAGGGAAGATGGATGATGATGGATGGAATCAATCAATGAATGGATGGATGAATGGAGGATGTATGATGGATGGATCAATCAATGGACGGATGGAGGGAAGATGGATGATGATGGATGGAATCGATCAATGAATGGATGGATGGATGGATGGATGTAGAGAAGATGGATGATGATGGATGGAATCGATCAATGAATGGATGGATCAATGGATGGATGTAGAGAAGATGGATGATGATGGATGGAATCAATCAATGAATGGATGGATGAATGGAGGATGTATGATGGATGGATCAATCAATGGACGGATGGAGGGAAGATGGATGATGATGGATGGAATCGATCAATGAATGGATGGATCAATGGATGGATGTAGAGAAGATGGATGATGATGGATGGAATCAATCAATGAATGGATGGATGAATGGAGGATGTATGATGGATGGATCAATCAATGGACGGATGGAGGGAAGATGGATGATGATGGATGGAATCAATCAATGAATGGATGGATGGATGGATGGATCAATGGATGGATGTAGGGAAGATGGATGATGATGGATGGAATCAATCAATGGATGGATGAATGGAGGATGTATGATGGATGGATCAATCAATGGACGGATGGAGGGAAGATGGATGATGATGGATGGAATCAATCAATGAATGGATGGATGGATGGATGGATGGATCAATGGATGGATGAGGGAAGATGGATGATGATGGAAGGAATCAATCAATGAATGGATGGATGATGTATGATGGATGGATCAATCAATGGACGGATGGAGGGAAGATGGATGATCATGGATGGAATCAATCAATGGATGGATGGAGGATGTATAATGGATGGATCACTCAATCAATGGATGGATGGATCAAAGGATTATATGGATGGGTAATAATAGTCTTCTCCCTCTATGCCTTGTTGCTGACTGTCCTCCGGGTTTTTCGTCTGTTAAATCATGAAAAAAGAAGCGAAGTGTTCCTGCAGTGATCCTACTGAAGCTGCCTCATCCAGTTAATATAGGGCAGATATGAACTAACAAAATCCGCTGATCTTTTATTCTGGATTCCTCTTCATATGTTTGGGAAAAAATAGATTTATCATCGAGTTTAAAGTCAATAAAATCAGCTTATGAAGCCAAATCAAATCAGTCAGAACAGCAGGAGGCTGAGATTACTCAACAAATTACTCAACAATTTTTTTTATTTTATTTTTTTTGGGGGGGGGGGGGGGGGGGGGGGGGGGTCAGAGCCTGCATTAGGGCCAGTGAGGGCTTTGGAACATTTTCATTTCTAACATCATAAAACTGCCCTGAGACAGACTGGTTACCTGTCCAGCTTGGAACCCACCATAGACTGAGATAGGCAGCATGGAGGATGGGTGGTTGGATCAATCAATGGATGGATGGATGGATGGATGGATTGATGGATGGATGGATGGATGGATGGATGGATGGATGGATGGATGGATGGATGGATGGATGATGGATGGAATCAATCAATCAATGATGGATGGAATCAATCAATGAAAGGATGGATGGTTGGATGGATGGATGGATGGATGGATGGATGGATAAATCAATGAATGGGTGGATGGAAGATGGATGGAGGATGGATGGAATCAATCAATGAATGATGGATGGAATCAATCAATGAAATGATGGATGGTTGGATGGATGGATGGATGGATGGATGGATGGATGGATGGATGGATGGATGGATGGATGGATAAATCAATGAATGGGTGGATGGAAGATGGATGGAGGATGGATGGAATCAATCAATGAATGGATGGATGGATGGAATCAATCAATGAATGGATGGATGGATGGAGGATGGATGATAGATGGAACCAATCAATGGATGGATGGATGGAATCAATCAATGAATGGATGGATGGATGGGGGATGGATGGATCAATCAATGGATGGATAGATGGAAGATGGATGGAATCAATCAATGAATGGATGGATGGATGGATGATGGATGGAATATATCAATGGATGGATGGATGGATGGATAAATCAATGAATGGGTGGATGGAAGATGGATGGAGGATGGATGGAATCAATCAATGAATGGATGGATGGAATCAATCAATGAATGGATGGATGGATGGAGGATGGATGATAGATGGAACCAATCAATGGATGGATGGATGGAATCAATCAATGAATGGATGGATGGATGGATGGAGGATGGATGGATCAATCAATTGATGGATAGATGGAAGATGGATGGAATCAATCAATGAATGGATGGATGGATGATGGATGGAATATATCAATGGATGGATGGATGGAATCAATCAATGGATGGAATCAATCAATGAATGGATGGATGGATGGAGGATGGATGATGGATGGAATCAATCAATGAATGGATGGATGGATGGATGATGGATGGAATATATCAATGGATGGATGGATGGAATCAATCAATGGATGGAATCAATCAATGAATGGATGGATGGATGGGGGATGGATGATGGATGGAATCATTCAATGGATGGATGGATGAATGGAGGATGTATGATGGATGGATCAATCAATGGACGGATGGAGGGAAGATGGATGATGATGGATGGAATCAATCAATGAATGGATGGATGGATGGATGGATGGATGGATCAATGGATGGATGTAGAGAAGATGGATGATGATGGATGGAATCAATCAATGAATGGATGGATGAATGGAGGATGTATGATGGATGGATCAATCAATGGACGGATGGAGGGAAGATGGATGATGATGGATGGAATCAATCAATGAATGGATGGATGGATGGATGGATCAATGGATGGATGTAGGGAAGATGGATGATGATGGATGGAATCAATCAATGGATGGATGAATGGAGGATGTGTGATGGATGGATCAATCAATGGACGGATGGAGGGAAGATGGATGATGATGGATGGAATCAATCAATGAATGGATGGATGGATGGATGGATCAATGGATGGATGAGGGAAGATGGATGATGATGGAAGGAATCAATCAATGAATGGATGGATGAATGGATGATGTATGATGGATGGATCAATCAATGGACGGATGGAGGGAAGATGGATGATCATGGATGGAATCAATCAATGGATGGATGGAGGATGTATGATGGATGGATCAATCAATCAATGGATGGATGGATCAATGGATTATATGGATGGGTAATAATAGTCTTCTCCCTCTATGCCTTGTTGCTGACTGTCCTCCGGGTTTTTCGTCTGTTAAATCATGAAAAAAGAAGCGAAGTGTTCCTGCAGTGATCCTACTGAAGCTGCCTCATCCAGTTAATATAGGGCAGATATGAACTAACAAAATCCGCTGATCTTTTATTCTGGATTCCTCTTCATATGTTTGGGAAAAAATAGATTTATCATTGAGTTTAAAGTCAATAAAATCAGCTTATGAAGCCAAATCAAATCAGTCAGAACAGCAGGAGGCTGAGATTACTCAACAAATTACTCAACAATTTTTTTTTTTGGGGGGGGGGGGGGGGGGGGGGGGGGGGGGGGTCAGAGCCTGCATTAGGGCCAGTGAGGGCTTTGGAACATTTTCATTTCTAACATCATAAAACTGCCCTGAGACAGACTGGTTACCTGTCCAGCTTGGAACCCACCATAGACTGAGATAGGCAGCATGGAGGATGGGTGGTTGGATCAATCAATGGATGGATGGATGGATGGATGGATGGATGGATGGATGGATGGATGGATGGATGGATGGATGGATGGATGGATGATGGATGGAATCAATCAATCAATGATGGATGGAATCAATCAATGAAAGGATGGATGGTTGGATGGATGGATGGATGGATGGATGGATGGATAAATCAATGAATGGGTGGATGGAAGATGGATGGAGGATGGATGGAATCAATCAATGAATGATGGATGGAATCAATCAATGAAATGATGGATGGTTGGATGGATGGATGGATGGATGGATGGATGGATGGATGGATGGATGGATGGATGGATGGATGGATGGATGGATGGATGGATGGATGGATGGATGGATGGATAAATCAATGAATGGGTGGATGGAAGATGGATGGAGGATGGATGGAATCAATCAATGAATGGATGGATGGATGGAATCAATCAATGAATGGATGGATGGATGGAGGATGGATGATAGATGGAACCAATCAATGGATGGATGGATGGAATCAATCAATGAATGGATGGATGGATGGGGGATGGATGGATCAATCAATGGATGGATAGATGGAAGATGGATGGAATCAATCAATGAATGGATGGATGGATGGATGATGGATGGAATATATCAATGGATGGATGGATGGATGGATAAATCAATGAATGGGTGGATGGAAGATGGATGGAGGATGGATGGAATCAATCAATGAATGGATGGATGGAATCAATCAATGAATGGATGGATGGATGGAGGATGGATGATAGATGGAACCAATCAATGGATGGATGGATGGAATCAATCAATGAATGGATGGATGGATGGATGGAGATGGATGGATCAATCAATTGATGGATAGATGGAAGATGGATGGAATCAATCAATGAATGGATGGATGGATGATGGATGGAATATATCAATGGATGGATGGATGGAATCAATCAATGGATGGAATCAATCAATGAATGGATGGATGGATGGAGGATGGATGATGGATGGAATCAATCAATGAATGGATGGATGGATGGATGATGGATGGAATATATCAATGGATGGATGGATGGAATCAATCAATGGATGGAATCAATCAATGAATGGATGGATGGATGGAGGATGGATGATGGATGGAATCATTCAATGGATGGATGGATGAATGGAGGATGTATGATGGATGGATCAATCAATGGACGGATGGAGGGAAGATGGATGATGATGGATGGAATCAATCAATGAATGGATGGATGGATGGATGGATGGATGGATCAATGGATGGATGTAGAGAAGATGGATGATGATGGATGGAATCAATCAATGAATGGATGGATGAATGGAGGATGTATGATGGATGGATCAATCAATGGACGGATGGAGGGAAGATGGATGATGATGGATGGAATCAATCAATGAATGGATGGATGGATGGATGGATGGATCAATGGATGGATGTAGGGAAGATGGATGATGATGGATGGAATCAATCAATGGATGGATGAATGGAGGATGTGTGATGGATGGATCAATCAATGGACGGATGGAGGGAAGATGGATGATGATGGATGGAATCAATCAATGAATGGATGGATGGATGGATGGATCAATGGATGGATGAGGGAAGATGGATGATGATGGAAGGAATCAATCAATGAATGGATGGATGAATGGATGATGTATGATGGATGGATCAATCAATGGACGGATGGAGGGAAGATGGATGATCATGGATGGAATCAATCAATGGATGGATGGAGGATGTATGATGGATGGATCAATCAATCAATGGATGGATGGATCAATGGATTATATGGATGGGTAATAATAGTCTTCTCCCTCTATGCCTTGTTGCTGACTGTCCTTCTCCGGGTTTTCCGTCTGTTGGACTCATGAAAAAACAAGCAATTTATTCTTGCAGTGATCCTACTGAAGCTGCCTCATCCAGTTAATATAGGGCAGATATGAACTAACAAAATCCGCTCATCTTTTATTCTAGATTCCTCTTCATATGTTTGGGAAAAAATAGATTTATCATCGAGTTTAAAGTCAATAAAATCAGCTTATGAAGCCAAATCAAATCAGTCAGAACAGCAGGAGGCTGAGATTACTCAACAAATTACTGCCAATGAATGTTATTTCAGCGAGGTTCTATAAATCTCTAACGACTTACATTTGAAAAAAATATTCATTACTGCAGATTACAACTTTTTTAGGGATTGTAAAGTCCATCTTATTCTTATTTATATGCTATCTCTCTTTGTCACAGTTCTTATGCCAGTTTGCTGTGTTGCTAGAATGCCTACATTTCAGAAATGAACAAGATGTTTCTTTTCTATTCTCTTATGCAACCCCAAAGGTTCTTTTCAGGTGTTTGGCTGCCATGCTGTGGCCATTGTTTCAAAGTCCTCTGATCTTATGTAATCCCACGAGGAGAATTGGATAGAGAGTAATCTGTCACAAGAGTCGCTGCATCTTCCAGATGCAAAGTAGCGAGGTAAAAGCAGGCTAACGAACTCCAAAAAGCTTGGATCAACTGAAAATGTGGCCTGTTAGATAATTCAGTTAACATGTTTCACACTTCTGTGGCGCATGTGCATTTGCTACCGACATAACCAAATAATCCAGCCTGCACGGGTCAAACTGCTGTAATCCTAGAGGAATTTAATAAACTAGAGAAGGCAAGCAAGTTGAGTCCTTATAGTGACACTTAATCCTGAATCTGTTTATGCCCCCCTCCCCCTGTCACTTTCCTATCTGTAGGACTTCACTATGACTCTTTATCTAAGGCACTACTGGAAGGATGAAAGGTTGGCTTTTCCAAGCAGCACTAATAAGAGCATGACATTTGACGGGCGCCTGGTGAAAAAGATCTGGGTCCCAGACGTGTTCTTTGTCCATTCTAAGAGGTCCTTCATCCATGACACCACTACTGACAACATCATGCTGAGGGTCTTCCCAGATGGACACGTTCTTTACAGCCTGAGGTGAGGACAGCGGCTCAGTCTGACTTGGCAGGCTATTCTGAAGCACACGCTGATGGGCTGTATGCCGTCCTTTCTTTATCCCTCAGGGTAACAGTTACTGCTGCATGCAACATGGATTTTAGTCGTTTCCCTCTGGACTCACAGACATGCACACTGGAGCTGGAGAGCTGTAAGTCATTTTGTTGCAGTTTAATTCTTAATAGGAAACATATTTCCAACACGTCTCAACCAGATATGTGCAACACATCATTATTAAAGCCAAGCGCTACACCCCAAGAACCAAGATGGCCAAAACAAAGCACTTTGATAGTCAGGGGTGGATTTAGGAAACTTGAGGCCCTGGGCAAAGACAGGCAGGGGGCCCTCTGAGAAATGAACACATTAAACAGACCCATTATCCAGATAGAGAAATGTTAATAGAATAGGTTGTGTCCCTCTCTTCTTGTCCCTTTTCTTCTTGTTTTCCTCTCTATGTTTTGTACTCAGCTGACTTTTCATGCTGTCTCTAAAGGAATGAAAGATTTTTTTCCAAGCACTAAGCTCACTTAGCTGATTGCTCCTTCCTGAGACACATTTAATATTATCAACATTCTGATGGCATTTTAGCCAAAATGTTTTATCAAAAACATAATTAATGTGCCCAAATAAGGAATAGCTGTAATAATCATACATGCAAACTGAGTTTTATGGGCCCACCAGGAACTTGGGGCCCTAGGCTACTGCCTAGTATGCCTAATGGTAAATAAGGCAATTGATAGTCTGTTGATAGTCTAGACTAGGGTTTATTAGTTCCAATCTTGATTTCTGGTGTCCTGCACCTTTCCAAAAAAAGCTCAATCATGCAGTCTTGATCACATTTGTTGTGACATTTACCAGAAGATTATGGATATATTAATAAATAACTAGAACTGGAAATTATAGTTGATTTATAGGTTCACTATGTAAAGTAAACACAAAAGACCATGAGTTAAAATTACAATGGTGCCTTTATTAGCTAATAATAACTAAGCAGAGACTAAACACTACTGAAAATAAGCACAAATAAAAGGGAAGGAGGGGCTTAAAGGCAGGTATGGGGCATTGCAGGCTAACAAAGAAGCCAAACGACCCCCATTCCAAAGGGGTGGACCCGTTCATCCGTTTGAATTTGCATGTTTTCTAAACTAAAACAAGGCTTTGTTGGGCTGCTGGATAAAACCTGGAACTCAATTCCTGACATTTTGAATTGAAAAAGCTTCCTGGATGAAAGAGAAACGTCTTCAAACTTGGAAACAAAGTCCAGTGGATTGTTTTTAACTATTTTGGAATGACTGAAACTACATTTGGAGAATAATTTACTTATGAGCAACATTCCAGTTAAAACCTTTTTTTTTCTGATTTACTGTCCATCTTGAGCTTCTTTTAAAGAATTTAACACCAAAATAACATCTGATTGCTCTGATTTCTGTTCTTCAGACGCCTACACAGACGAAGACCTGATGCTCTACTGGAAAAGTGGGGATGAGTCTCTGAGCACAGACGACAGGATCTCTTTATCCCAGTTTCTCATTCAGAAGTTTCACACCACCTCCAGACTGGCTTTCTACAGCAGCACAGGTTCAGGACAAGATTGGCTTTATGTTTAACTACCTAAAAACATGCCTCACAAGCCCAGAGCCACTACATTTGGCATAAGAAATGTAACCTAAACACTGTTCTAACTCAATAACTGGAAATTACTGAGTGTTTTGGGGGGTTCTATACAGCCTATAACCTTCATGTAAGAATTTATTTTACAGTAATGATTATTTTAAGTGACATTTTTAATGTTAATGTTACATTTTCCCCAAAGTCTGCTGAGTGGCTGATAAGGATCAGATAAGATGGATTTAAAAGTCTGTCTGTTGGTGAATAGTGTGCTCGGATCAGAAAGAAGCAACTGGAAATCTTTGAGCATATTCTGAAGGCTGTGAGGAACAGCACCATGCATCACCAAAGATCTTCATGCCCACAGTAAAGCATGGTGGTGGCAGTATACTCTTTTTACAGGAAATTTCTATCATTTGATCCAAAAACCTTTGAGGTGTCTATTTAAAAAAACTGACATGTATCTTAGTTTATTTCTTTCATTTGAATAAAAGTTAAACAAATCAACTAAACAAATGACTTCAGCAGACCAATAACTAAACTTCTTTCTATTGGTTGTCTTTTTCTTTTTCAGGCTGGTACAATCGTCTTTACATCAACTTCACTTTACGGCGCCACATCTTTTTTTTCCTGCTGCAGACGTATTTCCCTGCCACTCTGATGGTCATGCTGTCCTGGGTCTCCTTCTGGATTGACCGCAGGGCTGTGCCTGCCAGAGTCTCTTTAGGTAGGAAAAGGGACCCAGAACTATTATGCTGGATCATTAAAGAAAAATAGATATTTCTTAAATAAGGTATTGTGTGGATTCTTAAACAAAATAAGGATGGTGCAAAAAAACAAGTGTCTGGCTTGTGTATAGGCTGCACAATATGGCCAAGACTTGTAGCGAGGACAAGATACTATGGGAGGCTGTTATGCTACGCTCAGACCGCAAGCAGTAGAAGCAGCAGAAACACGCGTGCTGCTTCATTCTTGATGCTTGTACAAGTTTAGTTCTGACACGCGGCTGAAGAATCTTTGCTGCTCTAGCTGCGCGGTCGAAAAAGTGGTTCTGATGCACGGTGGGCGGAGCTACCCTATCCTTTCTTTGCCTGGAACAATGGCAGCAATATTTGCTGTGATCAGTGGGTAAAAAGTAGTTTTTATATGTTTTTAATTCCACCTGAAAACATCGTCTGTGCAATCAGTTCATCCAGATTACCATCCTGGCTTCAAATATTATTTAACTGTTGGAGCCTGAGAATCCCATTTAACAGCAGCCTCTGGCCCGGTCGTCTCTTGGGGGTTTTCACCTGCTGTTGATGGTGGCTTGAAGTAGATGTTAGCATTTTTCATGTAAGTAATCCAAATCCAAATATTTTTCCGGCATTTGAAGTTAATTTAGGCATTAATAAAGTGTTTCAGAGGAGTGATCATAGTGCTCTCCATCAGCAGTGCTGTGTCTGTCTCCCTGCCAGCTCCCAGATCAGCTTCTCTGATTGGTTGATGTGGCGCGTCCAGCAGCAAAAGTTCAATTTTCCCAACTGCAGCCTCAGAAGCTCGTGAGGCTGCTTCAGCTGCTCAGACGTTTTGCTATGCCTTGATACGTGTCAACCATTAGCTTTGCATGTAAACCAGCTGCTGCTGCTGCTTCTGCTGCTGGCGGTGTGAACGTAGCATTAGAGTCCAACAGAAAACTGTGTGGTGTTTAGTTTCTGAAATTATGGGTTGATGAGCTTCTTGTTTGTTTTCCTTTTTCTCTTGATTCAAAGTAACTAAACGGTTGATATTACATTACAGAGAAGTCAATTAATGTGCTGGTGTATTTCCTCAGTGCCTATTAAAGCTGTTTTGTTTTTTTTTGCTTTCAGGTATAACTACTGTGCTGACCATGTCTACCATCATTACTGGGGTCAACGCCTCCATGCCAAGGGTCTCTTACATCAAAGCTGTGGACATTTACCTCTGGGTCAGCTTTGTCTTTGTATTCCTGTCTGTGCTGGAATACGCAGCAGTCAACTACCTGACCACAGTTAGAGATGGTAAAGACCGGAAGCTACGAGAAAAAATGCGGGAACAGGTATGATATGCGTTTGGAAATCAAGAGCCAACAGTGCAGCGGATGTTATGGCTCAGTCATGGTTTACTGGCTTTCTTTTCCCAGTCGCACACGCTGCCGTGCACGTGTGGCATGCCTCACACCAAGACCATGATGCTGGATGGAATGTACAGCGAGGCGGACGCCAACAGCCTGGCAGGGTATACCAGAGGCTCTGTGGCAGCTGAGGATCCATCCGACAAGCAGGAGCAGATGGTAGTACATCTCGCTTTGGACAATGAGTCCACTGAGACCAAGAAGAAGAGCGTTCGCAGCTTCCGCATCATCCAGAACACCCACACCATCGACACGTACTCCCGCATGATCTTCCCTGGATCCTACATCCTGTTTAACCTGATCTACTGGTGTGTCTATTGCTGATTCTAGATAAATCTCCAAAGACGATATCAGGAAATTGCAAAGTTTGGAAAGCTGTGGCCTGACTGCAGGCGCTGAGGAAGGGAGCATCTCCTTGTTAAACTGGAGGACATTAGAGAGCCTCTCCTTTCATAAGACAGACACCTGTCATACTACAGCAACCTCCTGAGGCAGGTGGTACTCTGGTTCTCTGTAGGAAAAAACATTATATTCTAAACAAAGAGAAACTTTGCCTGTTGTCAATGAGGAGATTGTTACCAGATATTTTGGTTTTCATTGCTTCCTTTCTCTGATGTCTTGTTTTCTGTTCTTATTTGCACAAAGTTTATGTAAAATCTTAAATCATTATGTTTCTGTTCATATTTGTCTGTTTTAGGCTACAGAAACTCTGGGACAATGAATAGGAAATTACTTGTGTTTTAAAAAAAAGTCGCCTGCTATGAAAGGCATTTTTGATACATTTTTATTTTCATATCTGGCATCCATTCTGTCATCTCTATGGATATTATCTAAATTGTGAAAGAAACTTTAATATATTTGACATCCCTTCCCCAGTGGCCAAAAAACCCGGGAACAATGGGCTTTTAGTGTCAGTGGGAACAGCTCACTGATGCGTGTCTACCCGGGTCAAACGACCTGGCAAGCGACCCGCGTTAAAATCACCTCAGCTCTGATCGGCATGCTGTAGGAACACCAGAGCCAGGTCCACCTGCTGATTTTTATTCAGTTTACTTATGTAGCACCAAATCACAACATTTGTCATCTCAAGGTACTTTCCAGTTCACCAGATCGTCCAGTCAGATTGATTCAAAGTTTTCTATCCTAAAAAACCAGTTGATTGCATCGATTCATTGACTCGAAGACAATCCCTCACAACAAAGCATGCTTGTAGCGACAGTGGAGAGGAAAAACTCCCTTTGAACAGGAAGTACCTCCAGCAGAACCAGGCTCAGTGTGAGCGGCCATCTGCTGAGGCCCACTGGGGCTCAGTCCATGTTTTAAATTCAATAAACATGGAGCAGCTCTGGTGAGAGGGACACTGACTACGCCCTGGCTTCTTTACATGTTGCTCACCATTGTTTACTTTCCTGATTCCTATTGCACTGGTGACATCAACACTAACCCAGCATCATGGCATCAGTAGACAGGCACCCCTAGCTGGCAGCGAGGGGTTAGACCCAGCTTTTTTGGCAGTGGGCAGGGAGCCAGATGTTGATTGTTAGAGGGTCGACCCATGTTTGTAAAACAAGCGTTAACCCGCTATTTTCAGTGGGTAAGCAGCTTTAGACACCTTTAGTGATGACTTTTCTTATATGATATGGAATCTTGTCAACATATCAGAATTCCCTGCACAGCTTTAGCAAGTATTTACCAAAGATTTGCAAAATCTGCTTCCCTTTTATCTCAGTGAGTCTAACATTCTTCTAAACAGGCTCTAAAACAAGAGATGTTTAACCATTTGTCTTTAATATATATAAGATAAATCAGGAACTTTATCTTTGCTTGGTGGTACAGCCTTGACAGATGGCTAACAATGTTTATAGACCATTCTCACATGGATGAAGTCAGCGTGTATCATGGAAAGCAAGACAAGTGAAAGACCAGAAATCTAGTAGATCATTTAGGAACAGACTGCAGCAGGCTGTCCGAAACAATAAATAAATTAAACAGGCTTCTGCTGATGAGTTTCAGTTCTGTGACGGGTCCTTCAATCTGTTTACACCATCTGATTTCCTCATCTTTCTTTGCAGCATCTTATTTAGGTGTGCTGCCCTCAACAAACAGGATCTGAACAGCCAGAATGAGGGGTTCCAGGTTTTCCTAAATAGGTCATCATGCTGAAATGTGCAATTGTTTGTAAAAAAAAAAAAAAAAAAAAAAAAAAACATAACAAAAAACCAATTATGTACTGAAGACAGGGTCATTTCTACACTGTTATTGTAGCAACTGCTTGAACTGACTTGGGCATTTGAATGAAATGTCCAAGGAGACATTAAATGAACCAGTGAACTTTTTGTTTTGTTTTGTTTGTTTGTTTTTTTGCTTGTGTTACAGTCTAACCTGATTTCAATTAAAGTTAAAATCAGTTTAGCACCAATTTACAACACAGGTCATCTCAAGGCATTTTACAGAGAACATTCAATCAAATTGTATGTGGCGACATACATCTTTGACTTTCACGCAATCCCTCACACTAAGCATGTATAAAAGATAGCAGAGAGGAAAACATCCTATTTTACTGGAATAAACCTCCATTATAACCAGGCTCCTTCTGGGGTTCATGGAAACACAATAGGAACATAGAAGCATTGATCCTATTTACTTTATGTTAGAGAATGTTACAGTATACTAACTTCATACTTATAATCACGCTGATGAACTTCAGTTTGCATTTCAAAAAGGATAAAGAGAGCAGGAGCCAACTGCATAGATCTTGGTCAATTGGAACAGAAGCATACTCGTGACGTCACCACATGCTTGGCTCCTTTGGAGCTGCATTTCACCTCCTGTTATCAATGTCTGTTGATAATAGTACATTTTTAATTTTTTCATTTAGTGGGAGAATAATGATTAACACAGTCAAACACAAATCAAATGAACACTCTGCCGAAACAAGCAAAAAAAATTATCATCAGAGCCAGGAGGGGCCACTTCCCTCAAGCCAGAAAGGAAAACAGTCATTGCTATGAGTGGCTGTAGCTCTGTGGTGCAGGTAAACATAACATTAAACATTTTCCCATTACTTAAAACAAATATATAGGGTCAAATAAAACATATTTCAAAGGGGACCTTCCCTTTTGGAAATTCTTTATATATATATATATATATATATAGTTTTTTATATATAACTAATTTGTGATTTTCTCTAAGTGGGACAAAGATGCCGTGGGAGTTGTATAGAGATTCCCAGGCTTTTACTTTGGTAGTTCACTTCTGCTTTTTGGCAAGTGAATTTGCATATTTCCTAAATATTTAGCTAGCACCAAGCTAGCTAGATATTTAGTTTGTTGAATAAATATTTAGTTTGGAGCTAAATATTTATTTATTTATTTATTTTTATTTATTTTATTTTTTTTTTTGATCATTTATTTCGAACACTTAATAAAAAGCAAATATAAGTAAATTATTAAAGTCATACAAAACAAAACAAAAAAAAAGAAGAAAAAGAAAAAAAAAACATATGTACATCCCATCATGTTCGAAAAGGAGTAGGAAGAAGTAATAAAACTTATTAAATCTTACCCCTGTTCTATATTAACATCTACCTATGTTTAAGCATGCATACATATCCATATATACACACACACTCACCCATACATATATACATATATATATATATACATACACATACTCACAGATACCTATACATATATATACACACATGCATACTTACACATACACCCGTATCTCAAACACATACACACATACATGCATATACATACACACCCCAATTACTATAGACAGTATACACATATCTCTATCTACATATACGTACACATATTTCCATACATATCCATAAACCAAAAACCCTTTTCTCTCACACTTTTTTTTTATTTTTTATTATTTCATCTCTGTTGACTTATCGATTTTAATTCATAGTGGCAGAGCAAGTTCTATTCCCCCTCAAGTCCCCTCCTCCCTGTATCTTATAAAAATCTTTTGTTTATATTTGTTTTTAAACTGGTTGATGTTTGGACATTGCTTCAAATCCATGCTCAGTCTGTTCCATAGCCTCACTCCACTATTTGTTATACAAAATCTTTTCCTTGCAGTTCTGTATCTTTGAATCTTAAAATTAGTTATCTCCCTTAAATCATACCCCCCCTCTCTCTTATAAAACAAATTTGTCAAGTGACTTGGTAATAGCTTATTTCTAGCTTTAAATAGAAATTGTGCTGTTTGGAATTCTATCATATCATAAAGCTTCATGATTTTAGACATTATAAATAGTGTGTTGGTGTGTTCTCGATATCCAACTTTATGAATTATTCTCATGGCTCTTTTTTGCAATATGAACAGTGGCTCTAGTGAACTTTTATATGTGCTTCCCCATACCTCTATACAGTAAATTAAATGAGGTAAGACCAAAGAACAGAACAGAGCATGGAGTGATTTGTAATCTAAAAAATATCTTACTTTGACTATTACAGAGATGCTTTTAGATATTTTAGTGCTGATGTATTTAATATGAGACTTCCAGCAAATCTTGTCATTTATTATCACCCCGAGAAATTTAGTTTCATATACTTTCTCTATATCAACCCCTCCTATCTGTACCCGTGCATGATGATTTATTTTTTTGTTACCAAATATCATATATTTTGTTTTACTCAAATTTAGTGACAGTTTATTTTTATTTAGCCAGTATTTAATATTAATGAATTCTGAGGCGATAGTGTCCAAAAGTTGCTGTAAATTCTCACCTGATCCTATTATATTTGTGTCATCCGCAAATAAAATAAATTTGAGTTTTTGTGATATCTTACATATGTCATTAATGTACATGATGAATAATTTAGGACCCAAGACCGACCCCTGTGGTACACCACACACAATGTCCAAACATCTTGACTGATGAGCTCCCATCTTCACAAATTGCTTCCTGTTTTTTAAATAACTTCTTACCCACTCTAGTGCCAGTCCACTGATCCCATATTGCTCTAATTTGTTAATTAATATATCATGATTTATAGTATTAAATGCTTTTTTTAGATCAATAAAAACCCCAACAGAATATTTCTTGCTATCTATGGAATTTGTTGTTTCTTCTATTAGTTCAATTAATGCTTGTGATGTTGATCGATTTCTTCTGAATCCATATTGATTATCTGAGAGTAAATTATGTCTTTCTATGAAATTGTCTAACCTGTAATTGACAACTTTTTCCAGAATTTTTGAAAACTGTGGGAGAAGAGAAACCGGTCTGTAATTTGTGAAATGATGCTTGTCCCCAGTTTTGTACACAGGAATAACTTTAGCTATTTTCATATTATTGGGAAATTTACCGGTTTGTAATGATAAATTAAAAATATACATTAATGGTTTGGAGATCCCATGAATAACCTTTTTTATTATTTTCATATCTATTTCATCATAATCAGTAGATGTCTTG